ACCTACTGTGTTCAGAGCCACCCCTCATACTGCGTGCTCTCAAATATCTGCAGCAGCGTCCGGGCCGCAGTGGCAGTGCGAACTGCATTCACGAGATTGGCGGCGATGTGAATTTCTCCGCCGACTGCTGCGTGCCGAAGCAAAGCGAACACCATATTTCGAAGACCGTCATCTTGACAAATGATCGTTCTAAAGGTAACTATCCTCCGCAGCCCCGCGCCACCATCGAGCCTCCGTCGCTCAAAGGGTGCCAGCCCACGCACTGTCTTCTCCGAACTGCACTGCGCTGCAAGCGAATGTCCTGAAGCCCAACACGTGTCCTACAGCGCAGGCTAGTCCACAGGGAACCACCCACAAGAAACACAACCCTGAGACCCCAGTGCGTCCATCGATTTTTGGTGTGGGAACGTCACGCTTTCAATAGAAAAAACATCGGAACCCAAGAAATCCAGGGCACCCTGGAGGCAAGCAGTGTGTTTCTTGGCATGGGTCCCCACTGTACTCACTCTCACTCTCTTTGTTAGACTAGCGTTGGCACCACCCCTTCTCTCATCCCAGTGCCCCAACTAAAATGCTTCCCCTTCCAGTCCCAGTCTCAGGGCACCCATCGACTTCCCTGGAGCTGCCTTGAGCCACAGAAACATTGCGGCATCATGTGACGACGAAAATTCATGTCAGCCGAATCCGTGCGAATCCGATGGGAGAGGAGCAGCAGGGTTGACCAAAAACGCGGCTGAGCAGGAGCACGACACTACCAAGATTCCTAGCGAACGTGTACTAGCATCTGAAACTTCGAACAGAATCGCATGACCTTTGCTTGCGCGTCGGGCCCCGCTCACGCCCTTCCGCACAAGACCACACCAAATCTCGAGAACCGAGGCTCTGAATGCACCAACGAGATGGCACTTTTTTGTTCCGTCGGCGGCGAGGCCGGGTTGGCTGCACCAGCGAGGTAGCTGGACGGCGGTGCCGTTTAAAGCGAGTTGGCCAGCGTGCACGAGGGGAAAGCGGGGAGGCAAGGCGGCCGCGGGGGGGGGGGAATCGGCAATGGACAAACCTCCCTTTAGCAAACCACTTTTAAATGAAAATGACCTAGGACCGAAACCGACGGACCTGGACCCGCAAAAATGACGGCCGCGACGCCCTCTCGCGAACCGAAAGCGGCCGATTCGCTCCTCGATGTGTGAGGGTAGGAGGTGTATCAACCTCCGAGGGAACGGTTTGACGCAGGCATGCTGAAGCATTGCGCGGATGGCCTCCCGATCGCGCTCGCGGGCACTCTCTTCTTGTGATTATCGTTCAACCGATCCCCATCCCCACCGGCGTGGCCTGCGGGCCCCACGTTCTCTTCGGGATTCGAGGGGTGTCCCCAATCGGGGGGGTAATTCAGTGGGGGTCTCGAAGGAGATGGGGATGGGGATGGGGATGGGGGTGGGGATCGGTTAAACGACACCTCAGAGCGCACGACAGAACGTCCTGGCAGAATGTCCTGGCAGGTATTTTTGGGCGACGTGGCGGACACCGCCCCCTCCCGCAGGGGCACCCTCCCTGGAGGACCGAAGACCGCCCGAATGAGCGCCTGGACATAGCGGCGTGAAGAATCGGAGGACGGGCCCGCGGACGCGGCCTCAGGGCAAGCTGCGGGTGCCAGACAACCACGCGCCACAGCGCCGATCCTCGCTCCACCAGGGGGCGAAGCGCGGCAAGTCGGCACAATCGGGGGCACGGACACGTCGCCGCTCGCCCCGTCTCCCGTCTCCTGCACGCGCTCTGCTGCCTAGCTGGGGAACCCACGGCGCCGCCGAAGCCAAACCGACGCGCGGTCCCTCAGCCCCCTGGCCGCTGCAGATCGCCCTTAGAGTCCCAGCGAGACGCCACGAGGACGGCCAAACGACCCAAGGGGCCCCCAAGACAGCCTCAAAAAACTCCAAAGAAGGTGCCCAGAGCAGTAAGCGGCCAAACACGGCCCCAAGATGCCCTCAGCATGGCCCTGGACGGCTCTAAGACGAACAGCGCGCCCCAGCAGCCGCCCGGCTACGTCGCCTCGGCGGCGCGCAGCGCCGCCGCGTGGCCAGCCTGGTCCGCCCCCAGGGCCGCCCGCAGCTGCCGCGCTGTGGCCTGGTGGAGAGCCACGCTGAGCAGCCGCCCCCACCAGGCCACCAGCTGGCCGGCCAGGGCGCCTGCCTCGCCACCGTCGGCCGCTGCCCGCAGCGCCGCCAGGTCCCAGGAAAAGGCCGCGCAGGTGCTGGAGAGCGGCCCGGCCGCGCCAGCCGCCAGTCTCCAGCGCCAGAGGCGCCATCCGCCAACCCAGAAGTTCTGCCGGCGCTAAAAGAGCAGTGGGATCTCAAAATATGCCATGTTGCGCCAAAAAGGCTGTGTTGCATCGCCACCGCTAAAAAAAAGCAGTGCTACCACATGCCGTGATAAGAAAAGCAGTGCTGAGACAAAAAGGCAGTGCTAAACCTTGCAGGGCCAAAAAGGCAGTGCAACACACACGCGGACACACTCGCGCACATACATGTACACGCCAAACGTATGTACAACGCTTATGTGTTGTTTTACACAGTTGGCCTACAACTTCACATATGGTAGTGCATGCGCACTGTATGTGGACGCTTCGTTTTTGTCACTGCATCCTCCTCCTCCTCCTCCTCCTCCTCATCCTCCTCCTCCTCCTCCTCCTCCTCCTCCTACTCCTCCTCCTCCTATATATATATATATACGTGGGTGCGTCTGCATGTACATGTGTATGCGTGTACAGATGTATGTTTGCATGCATGCATGCGTGCATGCATGAATGTATGTATGTTTGTGTTTGTATGCATGCCAGGGAATATGCAGGTGCATATGAACGTACGCATGTATGTGTATACATATATATATGTATGTATATATGAATTTGTGTGCGTGCTTATTCAAGTATATGTACGTATGGACATACAGTAATATATCTACACATTAATATATCCCTACATAAATATATATGTGTGTATATACATACATACATACATAAATGTGTGTGCACTGAGCTGCTGTGCGCTTCGCATTGCATTCCGTTGTTTTGCATTGCAGGGGCTCTCGTTGGAAAGGCTTTTGGGCTTGGGGCTCTTGGGATCACGTTCGCTCGGGGGGATCTCCAAAGGGATTCGCAAGGGACCCAGTCTCGGGGGGGCGTCTCGGGAGGGCCTCGGGAAGGCGTCGGAGCCTCCTGTCTCCGAAAGGGATCTCCAAAGGGATTCTTGCAAGGGGGCCAGTCTCGGGAGGGCGTCTCGGGAGGGCGTCTCGGGGGAGCTTCTCTGGGCCTCGTGACTCCGAAGCTGCACCCTGTGCAGTCAACCCGCGCAGTAAGGATGAGCGGCTCTCAAAGGCCACCCTTGCATCCTTCTCATAGGCCCATCCTTGGCCGTGTTCGCTTGCCGCGCTCCGCTCGCACAGCGTCGACGTGGAATTCCAGGGCCCTTGCATCCTCATCGCGCGTCCTCATTGCGCGGGTTGGTTGTAGGGGGTCTAGTAGCGGGAGTCTCGGGGGGGGGGCGTTTTGGGGGCCAGCCTTGCCACTGGGAGGCGCCTTGAGAAAAGGTGCGCGTACCAGGTGGCAGGGCACCCAGGGAGGCGCCCTGAGAAAGGGTGCGTGTACCTGGGGGGCGAGGGGGAAGAAGTGACAAGCCCTAATTGCACGTGCCGCCATGGGGTTGTGACAGCGCGGCCCCTCCGATGACCCCCTGGTTGCACCAAGAGTTCGGTGCAGCCAGGGGCGTGCAGGAGGGGTGCGCTAGCTCGTCACCGTCCATAGGGCCCGTCCGAGGACTCCTTGGTTGCGCCAAGAGTTCGGCGCAACCAGGGGTGTGCAGGAAGGGCTCTATGCAGGCGGTGGGGCCCATGGTCATATGATCTCCCTAGTTGGGAGACGTTCGTCTTCTGGACCGCTGCCACCCCTCTCGCCCAGGGCCAGGGGTCTAGGGCATCGGGGTCTCTAGGTGGGCTCTTGGGATTGGGGTTCTGTGGGTGGGTCTTGGGGGGTTCTTGGGATTGGGGTTCTATGGGTTGGGCCTCTTGGTTTTGAGAAGAAGCCGCCCTCCGAGAGAGAGAGAGAGAAGGAGCTGGCGCAGCTCGCGCTGGCCCGAGCACCCACCATGGAAGACAGCCCGCCAGACGCGCGGGAATGGCTGGAGGGCCCAGCGCTGCTCTGCCAGGACACAGTTTTGATAATGAGAAGGTTGGGAAGAAGGAGGAGGACGGGAGAGAAGAGGAAGGAAAGGAGGAGAGGAAGGAGAGGAGGACAGGAAAGAGGAGGACTGGCAAAGTGGAGACGAGGAGAGAAGAGGAGGAAGGCGAGAAACAATACCGTGAGAAGGGGGAGGGCGAGGAGGGAGATCGGGAGGACGAGGAGTGGACCCAGAAAAACACCAGGAGGACGAGGAGGTAGGATCAGGATCGGAATCGAGCGATTTCGCGATGAGTTTCTAGCAATATTGGCTTTGATCACTCGAGTAGGGGATCGACTACAAAATCGACGCGGCTTCGATCTGGGGGTCTGTTCCGGAACAGACTCGGTCCCAGGGGGCAGCGTCGATTCTGTAGTAGATCCCTTACTCGAGGGATCAGAACCCAGACAGCTTGAAACTCATTGCAACATCATCGATTCCGATGCGAATTTCATCGCGCAGAGCTCGAAATTCATCGACAGCGCCGAGCTCGAAACTCATGCGAGGGTGTTGCGACGACGAGCTGCCGATGAGTTTCGAGCTAGGCGCGATGAAATTCGCATCAGAACCGTCGAGTTTGCAATGAGTTTCGACCAGGATGTGTTCTGATCCCTCGAGTAGGCGATCGATTACAGAACCGATGCACCCCAAATTTGATGTGCCCATCGGATCTACGAGGCACACGAAGCTCAACGTTTCCAGTATATTCGACGGGCAAGTCAAGCTTGGGGCGCATAAGTTCTGCAATCGATCCCCTACTCGAATCTCCAGCCTCTCTTGCCGTATGTTGACGAGCCTGACTTCTTCAAGTACCCCTCAGACAAGATCGAGCGCTTCCGCGACGTGCAGTTAGACGTCGCCAGCATCAATGAGGCCAAACGAATGCTGTTACAGTTGCTCCTGTGTTTGAATGGCCGTTACTCCTCAAAGGACGTGGGCATCGGTGCGCTCAACCTCGTTTACGGCATGAAAGGCTTCTCGATGAAAGAACAGGTGAAGCAGAATTGGACAACAACCATGTACAAGCGCTTGTTTTGCGCCATCGGGCACGTCAAGTCGAGGATGGGGAGGTCACCAGTCCCGAAGTGGGCTCAGTGGTTCGCGCGCTCGCTGGACAAAGGTGCTGCAGAACCCGACGAGCCCGATGCAGAGACCGCTGAGCCCGCTGCAGGACCAGCTGAGCCCGCAGCAGGACCAGCAGATGATTTCGATGACGATTCGGATGACGCTCCTGTCATGAAGCGGCCTGCCATGAAGAGGCCCGCGGCAGCAGACGACCCTGTGTTGAAAAAGCCAGCCGCGGCCGTCGGAGACGGAGACGACGCCGAGGAGATCAAGGGCACCACAGCTCGTCCAGCGACTATTGAGAAGCAGGAGATTGAGACGACGATCGATGAAGAGAGCAGGCCGGTTGTGAAAAGGAAGCAGCAACACATCGACGAGATCCCCGACTCGATCTTCCGTTCCATGGATTTCGATGACGGCCCTGAAGCAGCTCCACCAGTGACGCCAGATCCGAAACCCAAGAAGGTCAAGCAGGATCCCGAGGCACCTCGCTGCTCGCCACCACCAGCGCCAGCGACTTCAACGCCGCCCACAGCTACGGGATCCACGTTGCAAGAGCAGCCTGGCGCAAGAGTTGCAGCTGGCGCGGTCACGGCGGAGCCTGAGCAGATCGAACCAACGTACGAGATTGGCTGGGACGAGAACAGGCTCGAGGCGTGGTCGAGGAAGCTCCGCGCCAGGGGGAAGCCGTACGCTGCGGAGTTCAGCGACACCCTCCAAGCGTTCGACGATGGCGCCGTGTGGGCCAAGTTCGGCAGCTGCGGCTGGAAGAAGATCGACGCTCTCAAGCCTGGTGACCTCCAGTTCATCGAGGCAAAGAGGAAGGAGAAGCTGCAGAAGTGCAAGGGGAAGGCCAGGGACGCGTGCCAGTCGGGCGTGCACCCGAAGGACAAGAATGAGATCGAGGTCAAGAAATACAAGGACAGGAAGTGGATGTTCAAGCTGCAGTATACAAAGTCCAAGCAGCAGATCATGATGATCAGCATCGACGAGAAGCAGGGGCTCCCCGAGAAGATGGCGCAGAAGGTGATCATCCAGTTGGCCGCCAGGTTCGAGGCGGGCGAGATCGAGCAGGAGGACCTCTACGCGGAGCGCGACAGTTTGCTCAACGGAGGGGCATGGGTACTCCAGATTTCGTAATAAAGTGAGGGGGGTCTCATTTCGGGTGGGGTCTCTTCCGAGCTATCTTGGAGGACCTGGGGGGGTCTGGGGACGATGTTTTGGAGGGTTTTCCCACGGAGGGGGTCTGAAATGGCTTGTCTTGGAGGGTCCAGACCCCCTCCCTTGTATTACGAGATCCGGAGTAAGAGCGCGGATAATGGAACACATCGGGATGTTGTAGCTACATCTTGGGTAGAGGTAGGACAGTGCCATAGAGGCAATGTAATGGTATATCTATAGCTGTCGATTGTCATGAATTGCCATACATTGCTAGAGATTGGGTAACTGTATCTAATGTGTGTACCTGTACATTTTTGCATATGTATACATATCGCTATAATTATATTGGATAGGTGGATTGGAGGGGGGAGTTAATGCGTGCAACCGTTATCGCTCATCCCTCATCCCTCATCCTCAAGCTCTTTTCCCCTCCCTACTCCTCCGTTCCCCTCCCCCTCTTCCGTTCCCCTTCCTCTTCCGCTCCTCCCTCTTCCGCTCCCCTTTCACATTCCTCTCACGACCCCCTCCGCACCATTCCACCCGTTCATCCCCCTGAGCCCCTCCCCCCTCCCCCTTCTAGCGCTGCAGTCATTATGTTCAGCAATGGCGTGTCCGCGCGGGGGCAGGCGAGAAGCCTGGGGATACGTGATGGCTGTACTGATACGGGATGAAGCTGAGCGGGAAGCTCAGCGCATTCTACTTCGGGAAGTGGCTGGGCGACATGCCCAGCGGATTCATCAGCGCTGGCATCAGCGCGAGACATTCTGCATCAACACTGGTTGATGGTTTCGCCTGCAGGTTGCGTGTGCAGAAACATGATGTGAGGTCAGGTCTAAGCAGCTCTCGCATGTTCTTTCATCGAGGTGATTGCAGCACATGTCGGACCGATGCACATGGTCGAGGTCGGTTCGCATTCGTTGGATGAGTTTGTGCATCCTGGGAAGGGTATCTTTTTAGATGTTATGTTTGTTGTTGCCGACTGGGGGTCTCATGCTCTTGATGGATGTTCTTCTGGCCTGTGTCCGACTGTGCAGTTCAGGCGGTGAAATGAGGACCACTCTGGGCTCTGGAGGGACTCTGGTTTTTGAGTAGCCCCTCAGATTTGAGTATTGAAACCTTTTCGCGGACGAGGCCCGCGGTGGCCAACGAAACACGGATGTTCCTTATCTGGCATTCCTAATGATAGCGCGACGTCTGTAGTTATGCAAACTCTTGAGGCTGTGCATTGCATATTGATCTGGCACGTTGCACTGCCACTCGGCACGGGTGCATTTCCTGTTGCGTCACCCTACTCGGAGGCGGGGGAAGGCGGGCGGGGCACAGCACGATGAGCAACTGGCCACACGTGGAAGCAGAGAGGGGACTGCTGAGGATCAGGAGGTAGCAGAGAAGACATAAAGGCAACTTAAACTCAGCCTGGCAGACAACATGACGGCAATGCATTTGATCTTGCACGCAATGAATTCACGTATGCCCGCAATGGTTACGCAATGAGTTTCGAGCGCTCCACATTGCCTAACCCTTCAGGATGTAAGTCGTTTCTGTCCAGAATCGTTTGGCCGATCCCTATCACCACTGGGCCATGGCATGGACCCCGCTGGCCAACTCACTACACCCCACAAGTGTGGACTGAATTGGGGGGGCAGTGGGGCGGAGGCCGGGCTAGATGAGGGCGGGGTTCGATGCTCGCATGCAGGATGCATGGGCGATTGCTCGCGCAGGGACGATCCTCATCCCCACTGGGCATGGCATACACCCCAGTCGCCAGCTCTCCCACCCCTCGGCGATAGATTCTGGAAGCTCAGAAGGAGTCAATGCCATGCCCAGCGGAGATGGGGATCTGCAGCGTCGATGGAAGAGAGTGATTGCCAGTGATATCGAAGGTTCAAGATCACTGGCGATCAGGCGCTGGCAGCATGTCGCAACCCCGTGGCACATGCGATCACTCACCGCCTATCCCGTTCACGGGGGCCCATGGGACGCTCGGAGGCGGGCTCCGGGGATGCATCACGATGGGGGACTACTCTGACAAGGCGCTAGATGATCTCATTGCTGAAGCTTTTGGCGAACCAGTCCTGCATGCGCAGTCGTCAGGCGCGGGCAGCTCCAACGACCACGCAATGGCCATGCCACGCTCTGCGGGAGTTGTGGATCTCACGGAGAGTAGGGTAGGGGGAGGAACAAGCAATAGTCATGGAAGAAAGAAGGGTGACGGGCTGGGATGGTACTCCAGATTTCGTAGTAAAAGGGAGGGGGTCTCAACCCTCCCAGACGAGAAGTTTTAGACCCCCCCCGTGGGAGAACCCTCCAACACATCGTCCCCAGACCCCCCCAGGCCCTGCTAGGTAGTCTGGAAGAGACCCACCCCGAAATGAGACCCCCCTCCCTTTATTACGAAATCTGGAGTATATTCCCGCGCTGGGGCAACTCAGGCGGGCAATTGGAGCATGGACATCATGATTAAACTTTGAATGGTCATTAAACAAACGCGATCCGTGCACCAGGGGGCACATGAAAGCTGGAAAAGGTGACTGGGCCAGCCCTTCCACTCTTTCCAGCCCTGGCCGATTTCCCTTTGGTGTTTCCAGCCCTGGCGACAGCGCCCCCGCTGTTTCGGGCTCGCTTCGCCCATGCCGCTTTCGACTGGTTTTCCAACTTCCACCTTTCCCAGTTTCCCTGTGCTACAGTGGGGCCACGTACTGGGGGGGCGCCAGGGTGGGCCGCGGCTCCACGAGTATCCAACTTTAGAACTGACGGTGAACGCTGGGCAAGGGAGGTCAACTAGGAGCAATCACGGAGACACGGGAGGGGCAGGACACCATCCAGGAGGACTCTGAGGGCGGCGTGCCCACGCAGCCCGAGAGCCCGCCGCCCGACCGCCAGCCAACGCAGTCAGAGCTGGATGAGGCGGGGCTGGGGCTAGGGGGGCACTTTGCGAAGCTTATGAGGAAGCATGTGAGAGGGGTGGTGAGCGTAGTACTACGCTCTGCGGGTCGCTGTCCGCTCCTGCGCAGAACGTTACGCAATGGGTTTCGACCGCTCCGTCTTCGGGGGGCGGGTGACACCTCGGCCGAAGCTTTGAGTCATGAGGGGCCCCCCCAGGAGCCTAACGGGGGCGTTGGCTCCCCTGCCAGGGCTACCACCGAAGGATGACTTCGGGTCCCTTCGGCGGTGCCCCAGACGGGGGGGGGCAGCGCCTCGGTCAGGGTCCTTCCTTTTGTGTTCTCTCTCTCTCTCTCTCTCTGGCCTAGGTTCTGCGTCGCCTCGGCACTGCGGATCCTCGGCTGCTGGTGAAACTGGTGAAACAAGAGGAAAAGGAGGAGGAGGAGGAGGAGGGGGAGGGGGAGGGGGAGGAGGAGGAGGAGGAGGACCCCAAGGGTAGCGCAGCGTGCGAGAGGGATGTGCAGTTTGGAATTGGGAGGCGGCTGATCGAGCTCACCGTCGGCGCGTGCTGGTATCGCAAGAGCATCTCCCGAAGCCGTCGCAGGACGAGAAGGCTGCGCAGGACGAGAACGCTGATGTGAGGTCGGTGGCAGATGATGTATCGGATGATGGGGCGGCGGCGGCGGCAGATGAGACATCGGAGGGGGCCCAGGCGGAGGCTTCGGCTGTGGCGGGTGCATCAGAGGACGAGGCATCGGCGGCATCGGATGCAGGGGAGGCATCGGCGGGGGCATCGGCGGCATCGGATGCAGGGGAGGCATCGGCGGCATCAGATGACGAGGCATCGGCGGCATCGGATGCACAGGCATCGGCGGGGGCGTCGGCGGCATCGGATGCACAGGCATCGGCGGGGGCGTCGGCGGGGGCCTCATCGGAGGCGTCGGCTGCGGCGGGCCAAGCCCAGCTGCCAGCGGCGGGCGCATACGTGGGCCAGCCTGCTCCGCCCGCTATGATGTTGGCGGTGCCCAAGTCGAGGCCGCGCGCTGCGCCCTCTGCTAAGCCATCCACGGCGCCCGCTGCTAAGCCATCCACGGCTAAGCCACCCTCGGCTAAGCCACCCTCTGCTAAGCCATCCACGGGTAAGCCACCCACGGCTAAGCCACCCACGGCTAAGCCACCCACTGCTAAGCCATCCTCGGCTAAGCCGCCCACGGACCCAGATGGAGATGCGGAGTCTGCGGAGGCGATCTTCGGGGGTGACTTCGAGACTCCTGAGAAGAAGCGGCTGTTCCTGTCGGTGAAGGAGGGGGAGAGCATGCTGATCGAGGCAGTCAAGAAGACGGCGGTGTCATCGGCGGATCAGACCCCGTCCCTTATCGAAGAGCTGGAGGAGGCAGTGTCGAAAAGGCATTGCTGCTCGCACGAAGTTGGCGCAGAGCTGGGACAGGATCAAGAAAAAAAGGAGGAGAGTGGAGCGACAAGTACGAGGCGGCCAAGAGGCACGGTCGAGATGCGCAGCAGGGGGTCAAGAAGGCGTGGGCCGCTGAGAAGCTCGAGGAGGAGAAAGAAAGGTGACAGAAGACGCAGACGCATCGCATGGTGGATGCAAAGAAGGGCGCCTACCGCTCGCTCCCTCGCATCATCGTGGAGGAGGGCGGCAACGAGGACCCCAGCAACGTCGCAGCGGCGGAGTTCTATTGCGAATGCTGCTTGAAGATGGGGGGGGCCCTGGGTCAAGTTCTACCCCACGTTCAATCGAGTTAAGTTCCTCTATTCCGAGGAGAGTGTGAAGGAGGAGATGGAGCGGTGCTGGCACATCTTCACTGACATGCAGAAGTCCGAGGATCCTGGCAACGACGAGCAGACAACTGGCACGCTCACTCAAGTCAAGAGGGAGCTGACCTCGGACGCCGAGGGCATGCCAGAGGCGAAGGTCGCGAAGGCTGGCGACGCTTCCTGCGTGGTCGCCAAGGCCTAGGTCACACCGAAGGGCAAAGCGAAGGTTAAGCTGCAGAGTGATGCTGCTGGCGGTGAGACTGCGCCCCCGACCGAAGATGAGCTTCGGAAGAGGGAGGAGAAGAAGCGCTTGCAGATTGCTGAGGCCGATGCCAAGAACGTGGTTGCCTCGTTCACAACGACTATGAGTGGCCTCAGCACGCTCCAGACAGCCTGTCAGAACATGCCCGAGTGGACATGGCTGAAGAACAACGAGCAGTACATGTCCGACATGGAGAAGAAGATCAAGGACTGCAACGACGCGATGCCCCCCCTGATGGTTCGCATGCAGACCGAGGCGATGCCCATGATCAAAAAGTCGTTCGAGGTGGAGCAGTTGATCGCCTCGTTTCGGGGGATCAAGACGAGGAGGGGATTGGGGGTTGGTCGCAGTAGAGGTGAATGTAGGCAGGGGTGAGGAATGACGGAGGACTGCAGGGGGTTCTGGGTCTAGGGCATCGGGGTCTCTAGGGCTGCAAGGGTCTAGGGCATCGGGGTCAAAAAAAACGGTCATACACAAAAAAACACAAAAAATCACACCAAACAATGAGCGATGAGTTTGCAATGAGTTTCGGGCCGATGAGTTTGCAATGAGTTTCGCACGATCCCTGTAAAATTACCGGGTTCCCGGCCCCTCATTGCACCGGTAGCCCGCGATGAGGTCCCGAGGAATTTCGATGAGTTTCAATGAGTTTCGATTTCGCACCCTGGGGGCGATGATTCTGAATGAATTTCGAGCACTCCGCCGCTCCAGGGAGCATCCCACCTCCCCACCAGGAATGAATTTCGCGCACTCCGTTGCTTTCTGGAAGTTCCCCCCCCCAAAGGAATGAGTTTCAAGTACTCAATTGCTTTCTGGGAATGTGTCCCCCCCCCGTGGGTAGCGGCAATGAGGTTCGAGCTGTGCACAACTTAAGCTCGCCTTGGCACCGACGATGTTGCAATGAGTTTCGAGCAGTATGCGATGAGTTTCGAGCTGTTTCGCACCCTGGAGCGATGATTCGGAATGAGTTTCGAGCACTCCGCCGCTCCAGGGGGCATCCCACCTCCCCCCAGGACTGAATTTCGCGCACTCCGCTGCTTCCTGGAAGCTCCCCCCCCACAAAGGAATGAGTTTCAAGTACTCCGTTGATTTTCCCCCGTGGGTAGCGGCAATGAGATTCGAGCTGCGCTCGCCTTGGCACCGGCGATGCCGCAATGAGTTTCGAGCAATATGCGATGAGTTTGGAGCTGGGCGAAATGAAATTCGCCTTGTGATCGATGTATTTGCAATGAGTTTCGAGCAATATGCGATGAGTTTCGAGCTGCTTCGCACCCTGGAGCGATGATTCGGAATGAGTTTCGAGCACTCCGCCGCTCCAAGGAGCATCCCACCTCCCCCCCAGGAATGAATTTCGCGCACCCCGTTGCCTTCTGGAAGTCCCCCCCACCCCCACAAAGGAATGAGTTTCAAGTACTCCGTTGATTTTCCCTTGTGGGTAGCGGCAATGAGATTCGAGCGGTACTCGCCTTGGCACCGACGATGCCGCAATTAGTTTCGAGCAATATGCGATGAGTTTCGAGCTGGGCGAAATGACATTCGCCTTGTGATCGATGTATTTGCAATGGGTGTCGAGCAATGTGTGCCCTGACTTGCCTCTCCTCTCATATATGCTCCCCTCCCCCTCTTCCCTGGTCAGTAGAGGGTACACTGGCATTCGGCGCTCTGGGATCTGGGCTGCAGACGCACCGCCGTCTGCACATGCTGCAGACGTAGAGCATCGATCTGCGCGAGCAGCTGCTATAGGGGCAAGCCGTGATTGCACGGAGGCGAGCGCTCGGTGATCTTTTCGATTGCGTTGCACGTGGGGTGTGCACGCTGGCGACCATCTACAAGGTTGGTGGTGTCCGTAGTTTCGCTCGCTCGGTTTCAAGGTATATGCCTCCTGCAATGCCAGCCAAGCCCCCGCCGTTCTACTTGTTCAGTCTCTCCTCCTTTTATCATTATCTTCCTCGCGTATACACTTCCTTTCCCGTTCCAGGCACTTCCTGGGGGGTGAGCTTCCTTGCCGAGCTAGCGCTGTTGCAGAAATCATTCACGAGCGACGAACATATCCAAGGCCATGCCCTCGCGGTCTGGATTCCAATGCGAGATCCCTTGGATACGCGATCACATGCATACGTTCCGAGTGGGGCTACATGTCCATGAGGCCGCGGCCGAGCAGCCCCGACCGCGATCCCGTGGATATGGCTACGTCTCCCGCCCCCGAATTGTGACGCCCCGTGCCCGTGCAGTCGTGTGTTTTCTTTGTCAGGGTCGGGTGCACGGCAGAAGCATGGGGGCGCCGCCCGCTGCGTCTTCCGCTCAAGCACAGGGAACCACTATGGGGAGCCCCCCTCCGAACCGCCCGAAGCGCCCAGCTAGCACAGCTTAGGAGGATGAGGGTGCATGGCAGAGATCTTCTTCGGACAGGGCATCGGAGGCTCGTCGGAAGGAGTTTGCGGCGAAACTGATATCACACATTACTAGCATGTACATGACAGGGGGCAAGATGACGGCGAAAGCTTTCACAGAGCTTGCGTATTATGGCGCCCGTGCTGGAGTTCCAGAGCTCAAGCAATTTGAGGTGACCCCGTCGCCAGTATGCAGCGGTAATTTCCAGAAGAAGCTCGACAGCGCCCTGGGTCTAGGAGCGTTCGATTCCTGCATGTATTCTATGACGATTCCTGGCAAGTCTCGGGGCGATGTAGGTCGAACACCGCACGATATTATGATCCAAATGCCACATGAGAGCATCGCAAACGAGATCAAACAAAATCCTAGCATCTTGGAGTCCTGGGGGGGCCGTCTTGAAGAGGGCAGTTGGATCGACAGTTTCGAGAAGAATCCTGATGTCCAGCGCTTGGGGCCAGCCAAGAGGACCAAAATTGTACCGATCGCGTTATACATGGATAAAACGCCATATACGAAACATGAAGGCTTCGTAGCAGTGACGTGCCACATCGTGGGGTCCAAGAGAAGGGGGCTGGTCCTTTGCGAGATCGTGTCAGAGCTCTGCGATTGCGAATGTTCGCACTGGTGTTCAATGTACCCAATATTTCAAGCGATGCGGTGGTCTCTGAATGCACTGGCTGCGGGGCAGTACCCATCGGTCAGACATGACGGTTGCGCGTGGAGGGACACCGACAGCTTGCGATTACAGCGGGCGGGGCAGGTGCACTTGCGGGAAGCAATCACAGGAGGGCGCGCAGTCAAGGCGCTGAACTTAGGACCACCTTGGGCTTGGGGGGACGGCCCCTCTGGTTTCCGGGCTGGTCCTTACATTTAGGTCGGGGCGGCCAGAAAGTATATCAAACACTCGTTCCTTATGTGGCGCCCCTTAAGACTGTGGACAGTGACCGCGGTGTGCCCGCGTGTGTGCGTGCGTGCGTGCGTGCGTGTGGGTGTGTAGAGGGGGCGTTCGGAATCCACGGGTCGGCCGCACTGTTTTTCAAAAGCGATAGTGTAAGTTTTTATGGCGAAGAGGCCTCGCATAACCAAACATGTTTGCAAACTCGTGGTTGTGTTTACACCCGTCCCCCCCAGGCTTCCGATCCAGAGTTCTATGGTGTTGTTGTCGACATCAAGGCCGACTGGCCTGAAATGGCGACAGGCTTCGGCTTCCCGTCTCACTCCAGCGGCCACGCCCCGTGCTTGCTCTGCTCGTGGAACGCGGAGCGCATATTGTCTCACACGTTGGGCGAGACGCTGCATCACCACCCCCCAGGCTCGTATGATAGGATGTGCAAGTCTCACGAGCTCTCCGTCTGCGTTCATAATGCAGATATCCACAGGCGTATCCGTTGGAAGCTGGAATTCAAGTCTTCTTTTAGGGGGCGCACTCTAGTTGAGGATGTGCTTGACGTGGTGCCAGTGCTTCGCAAAGGGGACCTTCTTGAGCCAAGCCCGACCCTTTTGGATGCCATGCAGTTCGATTCGAAGTCAGACTATCCTTTTCTGGTGCGTTTCTGGAGGCCACGTCCGCACGAGGAACGGGTATACCATAGAAACCCAATTCTGAACAGATCCGTGGGAATTGATTTGGCAACGTTCTCGATTGATGAACTTCACTGTTGTCATCTGGGCGCATTCAAGTCTTGGGTCGTGAATGCGCGGTGGACTGGAGGCAGACGCATTTGGAACGCTAGCCACTCGACAGGAGGACCGAGTCAGACACGGCCTACACATCATGAAAGATAGCTTGCACGATTGGCACAAAGCAGAACGTAAAAGAAACGACAGTTGAAACACAATCAAATTACAGAAGTAGGCGACCTCACGCCAGGCATGATCGGCGATAAGACTAAACAATCATTGTCTACGAAGGGTGCAGAAACGAAGTGGCTGATGATTTTCACGTGTGACCTGCTGGAGCAATACCATTCAAACTTACCACCGTCGGACTGCGCTGGGGATTTACGACTGGCTGGCAATGCACTGAAGGCTTGGGCCACGATTCTCACTGAACAGCCCCGGAAACTTCTCCCAGAAGTGTGCGATCATCTCGAAGGCCTGGCTGCCCTTCATTGCATTCACGCCGAAAAAGCAGGAGTCCACATGATGCCCAAACACCACCAGTTTAGGCATCTAGCGGGACAGGTACGCACCAAAGGGAACCCGAGGAAGTTTACGACATATCATGGCGAAAGCATGAACGGTGTAATAGCTTCTATTGCAAGAACGGTGCATAGGTCTCGTTTTCGGCTAATGGTATTCAAGAAATATGGGAAATTGTTCGAAGGACGTGGGGCCGAGGGAAGGGTTGCTGCATGCATGCGCAGTGTGTTGTTACGGGCTTGCATTTTCACATCTGCATGTTGCTCTTAGCAGGAAGAAGGGGTGGGGGGGCGAAGCCCCCGACCGCTACGGCCATGGGACAACGCTACAAGGAGAAGCAACCCGCCCGAGACCAAGATGGATTCAAGGAGATGACATGCAATGAGTTCCCGCTCTCCTCCCTCATCGCTCCTCGCCCTCCGCCATTGCGTCCCAGTCGCAGCGATATCTCCACGGGTGTGATTCCCAAATGGCCAGCAGGAAACGAGATGCAGTCAAGGCGATGCCGCGCAATGAGTTTCGAGCACTCCTCCCCCCCACCCCTCGCACTCTGGAAGCATCCGTCCCAATCGCAACGATCCACGAGGTTCGCAAAATGAATTTAGATCTCGAGACAATGAAGTTCAACCAGAAACCGATGATCGCGCAACGAGTTTCGAGCACTCCCACCCCACACCACTCCCCGTCCCATGGATAAATATATATATATATGTAAAGATATACACATCTATCTATATGTCTATATATATATATATACATCTATATCGCGTCCCAATCGCAG